CTTTTAGGTCAAGGACTTACCGGATTTGTGAGCCTTTTGCTAAGAAGTTCACATTAGAATTAGTGCCAGAATTTTAGGAACTACAGCGATAGTGTATTGAGATTTCTTAAATAAGACTTAAGATATTGCTTTATTGCTTTTTTGTATTTGTTAAAACTGTACATTGAATATTGCTATGTTACTATTTTCTACAGTTAATAGCTTGTCTGTTTTAAAATAAATAAGTTGTTAAGAGTCTTAATGGTCTAATGTGGTCTTTGTATTAAGTGCACTAATATTCTCTATCTAAATTCTCTCCTAGTAACATCTGTTCTTAGCTTTTAATGGACTTTATGTGCCGATGATTAGTAAATTTATTTCTCTAGACTTGACCTCTTCACAGGTCGGAGCTCTCACAGCCAATAGAACTCTTGATTACCTACTCTTCCCCTCCTCAACTTCTCAAAATAGGAACCAAAATCAAACAAAAATACCTTGTTTCTACCCTAGTCTTTCCCCATTTTACTAAAGACTTAACTTGCTCAAGTCCCAAACCTAAGAATCATCTATTTGTTGCCGGAAAGCTCAGGGCTGTGGTTTCCAGATTCTTGTCTTATTCTGTGAGAAAGAATTCAAGGACAAAGACAAGCAGCAAGCAGGAAAGAGCAGGTTTATTAAGGTGAAAGTCCACACTCAAGGCTGGGATGGCAGGCTTGAGAGGAGTGAGGTAGAGTTGTGCCAAGGTGGCTGGTTATGAGCTTTTTGTTCTCCTGGGAAAACGTGGTGCTGACATAACCTCATTATCTCCTCCCAGTAGGCAGGGAACTTGGTTTCCCATCTTTCTTCCTTATATAGTGTTTCTGGAACTGTCCTGGTGTCAGGTACATGATGGGAGCTGCATCTTTTGCAATGAAGCTCAGATTATGATGATACTATAATTAGCCAAAGGTCATTCCTTAGTCAAAGATGGCATCTAAGCTGGAAAAGACCAGTTTTGGCTTATCTTCCCTTGCCGGGGCTACAGTGAGGAAGTCTGAAGAAAGGGAAAAATTTCCACAGCCATATCCTGGAGGGTGGGGGTGGGGGCGTCCCCGCACCAACTGTCATGCCTCGTGTCTGGACCACTGTTGAACACTTCTAACTGGTTTCCATGTTTCCTCTTCACCTTTCAACTCCATAAAGAGCACATATGATCTCTTTAAACTATAAATTGATTCACATTGCTACTTTACTTGAAGTATTCACTCCTATCGTGGCCTGTGAAGTAGCCCCTGTCTGCTTCTCCATCCTCACCTCATGCTTTCTCCTTGCTTACTATGTTTTACTCACACAGACATTTTCTCTTACGACGCCAAGCCTGTCCCTGCACCTCAGGCTTTTATGTTTGCTATTCCTTCTGTCTAGAGTGCTCTTTCCCCGGAATTTTGCTTAACTGGTTCCTTTCTATCTTTCAGGACTCAGTTCAGAAGGCATTCCTTGACCACCCAAGCCAAATTCCTTACTCTGTATTGTGTTTCTGCCCTATTAGCATTTGAAGTTGCTTTACTAGACTTCCTATCATCAATCCCTCCCCACACTGGAAACATAAAACTGGATAGTCTTATTTATTCCTACAGCCCTAGTACCTAGAAGCCCATATGTAGCACAAAAAAAAAAAAAAGGGTATTTTGCCTTTTTTCTCATATAGAAGCAAATAATACTGTCTTCCTCTTTTCACATGCCGTGTACTGAATACTTACAGTTTCAGTCATAGTTGTAAATGTGAGCAATACAACAATGAATCAATAAAACTAAAATCCCCATCTCTGTGGAACTTACATTCTAATTCTAGTTTTTGGGAAAGAGAGCAAGTGAATAAATAAATATGAAACACATAGTATGTCTAATAGTATTAAGTACTTTGGAGAAAGACATCCCAGGGAGGAGGAGGACAGGGAGTACTGGTAGAGAAAGGAGTTTTAAATTTTTAAATAGAGTGGTCGGGGAAGACTTGCTGAGTTGATATTTAATCAAAGCCCTGAAGGAGATGAGAGAGCGAGCCATACATTGACAGGGGTAAAACAGTCCACGGTGCTAGGAGGTGGGAGTGTGTCTGCTGTGTTTGAGAAACAAACAGTCATAGAAAAATGGAGAAGGAATAGGGGAGCAGGTATCTCTCTTCATCTAATACAAAGTTTATATCAAAGGCTTTTCCTCTCAAGCATCTTTTATATATATTACAAGTCTACAATCCTTTATCTGCACTTCTAAAATCCAAAAAGCTTTAAAAACCAAATGAGTCTGTCTGTCGCCAAAAGTCATATGGCATCAAAAGCATATCTAAACTGGTATGGAGCTATTTAGAGCCTTTATCCTACTTAGTGGGAATACTCTTGGTTCACTCCAAAGTATTAATTTGGGGAGATCTCACTTAGGGCCCAGCTCAGGTATTATGTATAATGTGATATATGTACCATATTATCATACTAGACTCCAGAAAAATTACAAAGCACATCTGGTACCCACGGTTTCAGATAAGAGATTATCTTGAGTTTAAGTAAATACGAATTCTCAAAAACAAGATAGATGATGAAATTCTCTCTATCCAGTGGAACAGCAGCATGTTTGTTCCTGAAGAAAGAAAGGCAAAGTGGTTAGAGCAGGAAAAGCAGGAAGCATACCTTAGTGGACTGTATGTTGGATGGGGGTCTTACATAAAGTGCAGTCTCTTAGGTCATGGCAAAATCAAGTAGCCTTTATAACACTGATTTTTTTTTAGTCTGAATGATAGGAAATTAGAAATTAAATTAGTATTCCAGTAATTAGAGTTCTTTATGATAAAAGGAACAAGTTCAAAGTCATATATTTATTTTTCATTACAATTTTCTGGTGCAAATGAAAGGGGAAGATCCTATATGCTATTTCTGTTACCGTCTGGATGATTTCATAGACACTTGCCTATCAAAGCATTTTTTGGTTCCCTATTTTGGGGCCAGATAATGTACACAGCATTGGTAAGGGTTTATTCAGGATTTTCCTTTGGACTAACTAGATATTTTATAGGACAATCTGAAACCTTATTTCTAGAAATTGTAAATTTCTATCACAAGTATAGCTTTTTAAATAGAAATATATTGTGGTAACACTATAATGTCTTAATAGGATTAAAACAAGCTCTTTTAATATGAAGGTGGGATAGTGATCTATTTTTATAAATCTTTTTTTGTATCCATTATTTGGGGACTATACTTCTTTATTAGTATTTTCATATATGATAATGACAGTTTAATATGAAAGTTAATTCCATAAGCCAACATTAGTTGCTTCCTGAATAGAAAACATGACTTTAATTGAATTTAGTGAGAGAAAATCAGTATGGTTATGTTTTTATGCTTTGACAAAGACTGAATTAACAGTAAAGTATGATTTTTCCTCTTTTTACAATTCTCCCAACCTATGTGTTGTAATAATAGGATGAGGAAGGACTAGTAAGATAGGACTATAGTTTGTAGTTGTTTCCTTTTCATTATCACTTTCCAGAATTCTGCCTCTAAATAAAACTCATCAGGTTATGGTCCAAAATGGTAATTTCTTCAGGTCTCTGCTGAAGAACATTAACCTTTTCTCTTTAAAAAAATTGAATGGTATCTTCACAAACACCTATCAGCAAATGAGGACACTGCTTTATTCATGTAAAATCTTAACCTTTCTATAAGTTAGGGTAAAATTATATTGGAAACACTTAAACACTGAACTTACTTGTATAAGTAGAATGGACACAAAACTTAAAGCTAGAAAAATCTATGTCAAATTAATGTAAAGGAAAGATCTATTAATTTCTGATGTACTGTCATGAAATGTACCTTTTCTCTCACATATCCCTAACTTAATAGCATGGTTTCTGAGGCTCTACAAATACTTGTCTGTTAGAGGGAAGTTGTTATCCTTCTCATAGGAGTGTTGACAGCAAGCCTATCCCCAAAGGCCAAAGAGGAAGCATTATTTTTCAGAGAGATGTAGCCACAGGACTCATATGTCATCTCTCAAATTGTTCTAAAATTAGGCGTTCCTGTTGTTTAGAGTCCCAGGTTTTAAGGGTAAAACCAGTGACTCTCATCCTTGGCTAAATGTAAAATTACTTGTGGAGATTTTTAAATATACTGAATTAGAATCCTTGAATCTATATTTTATAAAAGTTTCAAAGATAATTCTGTTGTACCCAGATTAAGAAGCACTGAGATAGCTAACAGTACAAACCTACACATAACAAAGCTGAGAAAGAAAATCTGGATAAAAATCCATCCAGCCCTTAATACTTGTATTCCGGAAGTATGGCTGCCGATTGACCCATTGTGGAGTTTGGTAAAGGGTAGTCTTATGTCGCATCCTTAAATAAACTTACCTGTTCCCTTTGAATTCGATTTTTACATGGAGTGAGTTCATCAAAGAAAAAGGAATCAAGGAGCTTCAGAAGACACTGTCAGAAATAGGCAAGAAGGAAGAGAGGGTTCTGGAAGATGTGAAAGCTGTGGTCAGTGGCAGCATAGGAGGGTGAGGAGGAAAGGTCAAAAATGAAGACCATGGTTGTCCAACTGCCAGAACTGATGACTGTAGGTAATACCCAGGTCTGAATATTTCTTTGCTGGATAAAATAGCAAACTAACCAAAAAATAAAAACAAATGGCATGTGGGTAACTTTAAAATAACAAATAACTGAGTAAAACTATATAATTACAATAATAGGATTGTGATTTAGACCTAGAAGCATCCAGATGACTTTGCCCCTATAAGATCAGATCTACAAAAATGGAGAGAAAGAAAGAAACTAAGGATGCAAAAGAGACCTCACCAATAAAGAGCAGCCACAGGCAATAAAATGAACAGTAAGTTGTTCATAACTATCTATGTTAAGTGGGCTTTGCTATGATACCTTATCTGGATAACTGCTCTAAAAAAGCTTATATCAATGGATTTATGTATATCTAAGGGACGTAAGACCGATATAATTTTGCTGCTTCTTAGGAATTAAACACACACATCTGTTCTATTATCTGCAAATAAGCACTTTATTATCAAATAGTTCAGGATCAGAACAAGGTTTCTAATTCCAAAAGAGTTTTCTTTACATAATATCTTATTATAAAATACATACTAGGCGAATCTGATACCACATCCTACATCCTGTTCCAGTTTCTCTTTTGCAATTGGATAACTTGTTTTGATCTAAACAAGTTAAAAGTATAAATTTATCTCATTATTCTTAATGCTGTACATGAAATATAAGTATTAGTTCCTTTTCAGGTAATACTTAATACTGTGCCAGGTTGAGACCCGATTTATAGTGACATAAAAGTCAACTACAAGAAAAACAATCATTTTTGCTTTCAGAGGCAAATCTCTCTTAACATAAAAGCAATTATGTAAGGCAGATGAGCATGGAAATAACATTCATTCAAAGACAATATTTCATGTTCAGTAATCCCATATGAGAAATCAATGACTCAGAGTAAACAGAAAATTAAAGTTAGCCCTTGGGCCTTTGACGATTTAATTGCCAAGGCCTTTTGTGAATTCTAATTCATGCTGTAAATTAGCCACTATTTCTTAGAATGATACACCAAAAGAATATGAACCTTAATAAATACAGGGCGTTTTAAATTTGTTTTTGTGCAAGTAATTCCTTTATCCAGTATCCCACAAATAAAGCTGTTCTCAAGGCATACTTAAGATTTATAATAAATTAATAGAGTGCCTACTATATGCAAAGCACTGCAAGATGCTGAAATGTAGTGACAGCATTCCTTGTCAGACTATGTATGTGATATCATCAGCCTGTTAAATAATGAAACATTCGGCTAGAATAGCATATACTTAGATGAAAATGCTAAAGGTGTCCAACTTAAGATACTCAAAAGAGGAAATGGTAAATATGAAAAGATATTTTAATTTTTTCCCCTGGAGTTTAGTCACATCTGATAAGAGCATTTAACGCCTTCTATGTCAGCTTTGGATTTCAGCAGATAAAAAAGACTGACCACCATCTTCCTTTTAACAGAACAGAAGTATTCAGCCAACTGTTGCTCATAAATACTATTAAAGAAAAGTTATTCTCCAGCTTTTGCAGGGAAAATGGAAATGCTGAAAATTCTTTGCTGCAGGTGAGGATCAGTTTTTAAAGGCTCCAACTCTGCTTGCTTTGCTGATAAAGTTCTTTAGGAGATCATGGTCCATTTCTGCAAAGCCTGAAGTTTGTGTCACTACAGTCAAATGGTTTATGCAAAACCTAAAGCAGAATTCTTCTAAATCCTAGAAACAACAAAAAAATGTTTTAACATTCATATTTCCCAGTGCAATGCAACATAGAATGAAAAGATCTAAAACACACTGGCAAGGAAAAAAGATTTGATAGTCAAGAGGAAGAAATGTCAGTACAGCAACATCTAAAGAATAGTTATAAAACAATAGAGCTAATATGAACCTATTCTTGTAAAAATGTAAATAACAATAAAACATTCAAGTTCTTCCACAGCAACCAATGCAAAGAATCTGACTTTCTTCCCAGGGATAGGTATATACATGTATGAATTCTGTACTTTTTATAGTGAGAGTATTTATATTGTTCATTCCACTTTCAATATTTGTATATTTCCCTAGGGGCTTTAAATATTTCTATCTGTAGAGAGTTTGTGAGAAGAAGTTGTCATAAAAATAGTAATGCTGGGAAATCACTTCTCTGAAGTCATTAACGGGCCTCTGCTCTTTTTCCTGTACAAGAAGACAAAGAGTGGGAGGGCTGGATTTCATCAGACCCTGCATACCTTCAATGATCTTAAGTGGGAAAGCTTTGAAGAAATCATGACTTTCTTCTATGAGAAAACTCCACAGATTAGTGTTTCTGGCTCAGTGTAATGCACTCTGGGCCAGAGAATAATCCTGTGGTAATTCTCTTGATTACATCTGTAAACTTGAGAACCAGAGTGAAGGTGGCTGGATGCTTTCTTGGCTCCAGACAAATTAGAGCTAAAACAAGGCCAGCCTGCAGAGACTCCAGTATGCCTCTGACCCTAGGCTATGCTGCCGTCTTGACCTAGGAGAAGATGCTGCCAGGTGGTCAGCTTTTAAAGTTTCCTCTCTGTTAGCTGAATCTTTTATTTTTAAAAAAAAGCCTAAAATAATCTCCAAGCCATCATTTATACGTATTGCACACTATAATCTTTTCTTAACATGTAAATTATAGCAAATGCTGGAGCTGAAAAAATGGACAAAAATTAGAAATACTAATACCCATGCTTATCAATGTATGTACAAATTCACAGTACGTTTTAAATGAAGAAAGAAAGTACATGAGGAAAACCTCTTTATTTCATCCCTAAACACAGCTGCATAGGCTGCTAGGGTCATTTTGGCAGTATGACGTCTCAGTCCCAGGTGAGCCCTAAGTGATAAAACGCAAAATTCCACATACCCACTTGATATTGTAGCATGTGACTATACATAAAAATGTGATTCATTAATATATACTGAATATACCAATACCCATTTAAAATATGGACTCTTGCTTAAATTTTTAGAAATGGCATTTTCGCCTACAGCACACTGCAGTGAAACAAGACAGTCTCTCCAGCTGAATTCTACAAAGAGGAGTGGAGAAACTCATACCTGCACCACACATGTTAAAGTATATATGTCTGTAGTTAGATGATTAGGTAGTATGAAGTCATAAATCTGGACGGCTTCAGTAAAACTGCTAATTAATGGAATAAAAAGACCATCAGCAGTTATCACGTGGATCCACCCTGCTTTGCTTTTCTAGAATGGGAACTTCTCATAATTACTAAAGAAGAAAGGAATAGGAACGAGTTCCTTGATTCTAAGAATTCACTAAATCTGGGCTTGGAGTGATATTTGGTTATAATGAATTCTGTCCATATAAAACAAAGCCCCTTTATTTTTCAGAAAAGAGTCGTACTTATACTTTAACTGCTACAACTTTACGTGGCTTCACGTTTAAGACTTGGCTCGCCCTTCTGTGCTGCCATCCAGCTGTATTTCTCTAGTTCATTAATCCTTGCATTGTGCTACAACTTTCATACCTTCTCCCCTTAAATCTCAATACCTCCTATCTTATCCTCACTGTAAGCTAATATTACTTCTTATTTCACTGAGAAAAGTGCATTCAGGAAAGAACCTACACAAGCTCTTGCACAGTATCCCTGGCCTACCTGCCTGTATGTGCCTGTAGACTCTTACCTTCTTTCTCTCTAACTGTGGATGAACAGTCCATAATCCCACGTAAAGCTAGTCTCCCACTTTTTCACTAGATCCCATTGGCTCTCACCTTCTCAAGGACACCACTTAGCAACTGCCCCTGCACACCTGCCCATATCCTTTCATTGGATCATCTGCATCAGTACATAAACATGCTTAAATTTCTTTCTTCTTAAAAAAGCAAAAAATATGTTTTACTTCGTATGCCCCTCCAATCATCCCCAGTGTTTTTTCTCTTTATATCTTTATAGTAAAGATTACTGGAAAAAGTTATTCCTCATCTCCAATTCCTCTATTCCCATTCTCCAATCAGGCTCTTACCCCTATCACTCTGTTGACACTACAGCTGTGGTCATCCATGCTATTCTCATTGCCAAATCCAACTGTTACTTCTCAGTTCTCAACCTGGCCAGGAGCAGCGTCTGGTGTGGCAATGACCTCCTCTACACACTCGGTGCTAACTTCTAGGACACTAACTTTTTTCCTAACTTCTCTTACCTCCCTGCAGCCTCCTTAGCTGGTGTCTCCTTATCTCCTTGACCTCTAAACACCAAATGTGCAGGACTTAATCCTCACAAATGCCTATTTCCTGTCAGTCTCACAGCTTTAAATACATTTCTCTTCTACACTGATGACCTTCCCCTGAACTTGAGGCTTATTTATCCAACTTGCTTATTAAGCATTTTTGTTGGGATGTTTAACAGACTCGAGAAACTTATTCAAAATCGAATTCCCGATATTTCCTTAAAAAATGCTGCTTCTCCCCATCTTCCCTATCTCAATAGATGACAATTTCATCCTTTCAGTTGCTCAGGCCTAAACTTTGGAGTCATCCTAAGTTGTCATCTTTTTTTTTTCCTCACCCACATTCAACTCATCAGCAAGTCCTGTTTGCTCTACCTTCAAAATATTTTCAAAATCCAACCACTTTTCACCATCGTCACAGCTAATAACATGGACCAATCTACCATCATTACTTACTGGAGGACAGGGCCTCCTAACTAGCCACCCCCCTCACCCTCACACTATTCTCAATCTAACGAACGGCTAGATTGTTTCCAAATGTCAGTCATATCACGTCTCATCCTCTCCAAACCCTCGAATGACTCACTCACATCAGAACTCAGATCCCTTAAAGTTGCCTGTTGGGCTCTCCAGGCCCTGCCTCCTTCCACACACACCCATTCTCACCGCACCATCTCTGACTTCACCTCCTGTTCCTCTCCCTCACTCCACCCACACCCATCTTGCTGTCAACATCGGGCCGTTACCTTGCCCTCCCCTTGTGCTGCAGTGTGCTTCCTCTGTGCCTCCTTCAAGTCTTTGCTCAAGTCACATTCTCACTGATACCTTCCTTCCCTGACCATTATTTAAACTTTCAACTTTAATCTTAGCCTGATACTCCATATCTCCCTTGTCTACCTTACTTTTTCCCAAATCACTTATCACCATCTAACATACTATACATTGTATTCATTTATTCATTGCCCATCTCTCCTCACCAAAAAGTTCCACAAGGGCAGAGATTTGGGTCAGTTTTGTTCATGTGCTATACCCTTAGTGTCTAGAATAGTGCCAAGCATGTAATAGACAGTGAATATTTGTTGAATGAATGAATGAACACTGCCGGTTTTAATATATGTGGGAGAAGAAGGGAACATTAGAGAATTGTAATTGAATGTATGGTTTCAAAGCTGTCAGACTTGGACTGCATACCAGACTAGCAATTTACTAGTTTACTAAGAATTGACTTAATCTCTCTGAGCTTAAGTTTCCTTATTTATAAATTGAGACTGATAATAATCATGCCCATATTTTATAATGTTCTTTTGAGGATTCAAAGAGATATGAACTGTGCTTTGAATACTCTCTGCCTCATATTAATTATAGTCATGAGGCATAATAATTTGCTGGAAAAGCCCATTATTTGATTATTAGAGTCAGCAAGTAAAAATATTACGAAAGGAAATATACCTTTATTTACAAAAACGTGAATTTTAAATGTACATTTTACTTGTAGTCTATTACACTAATTTAGGGTACAACAATCACTTAGGGTATAGTACAATACAGTGCCTCTATAGGCAAAGTTGAACATTCATTAAATATTTAATGAATGCATAATATGTGTCTCTAGGCACTAGGGATTTAGTTGTGAGCAAAGCAAAGTCCTTACCATTCCTCACGGAGCTGACTGTCAAGAAAACAGATGGCTGGAAGTAACCATACAAATAATTCACATAAATAGAGAATATGAAAAAGTCTTGGAAATTAAGCCTAGTTCAGATGGAAACATTATGTGCCCACTATTGTGACATCTGAGGTAGCCCACCAGAATCCATGACTTTAACAAACTCTAGAAAAGCTCATAGATTTTCTTTGTCCATAAAGCATTTTGCATGTTGTAAGGGCCCGATATAGCATTACCTTGAGGAATCACGAACATTCACTCTGCTTTTAAATGTTAAGGTGGGTGAGATTTTTTTTGAAATGTTAAGGAAAAAAATCTAGTATTTAGAGACATAATGTAACCTAGGAAAAAATCAAATGGAGCTGTGTCAAAATGTTATGTTCTCTAGTTAATGAGTCATTTCCTTCCTCATACTCTGTATTTTCTAAATTTTCTTTACTAAGCATCTTATTATTTACATAAGCAGAAAAGAAGTTATAACCTTTTTTCCACCCACTACTAAAATGTCCCTGTTTGTTTAACCAAAGGAGAGGATATCCTTATACCAAAAGGAAATCGACTCCAAGAAATAGAGCCTGTTTCCTAAAGATTTAGCTCTAAGACAGGTTTTCTTTCCTTTCCTTATTATCAAAACAATACATGGTCACTGTAGAAAGTTCAGAAAAAACATGCAGAGATAAGGAAATGAAAATCATCCGTAATCCCGCCATTCAAAAATAACCATTGACTATATTTTTCAGTCTTTTTTTCCTACATAAATAATGAATTTCAGTCTTTTTTAATTTTGCTATTTATGTACTTTTAAAAAATAGGAATAGGACCATAGTTTTTCAGTTAATGGTATATCATGAATAACTGCATAGTTTCATAGTATTAACATTCTGTAGTTTAAATAATCCTCTACTGATCATGTTGGCTTTTTCAAAACTATAAACAATGCTGCAGTAAACATCTTTGAAGTTAATCTTTGTCTGAATCCGTGATTACTTCCTTAAGACAAATTCCTGTAAGAGAATTTCTTTTTCGTTTGTTTATTTGTTTATTTTATTCTTTCTGTAAGTGAATTTCTTAAAGAATTACATCTTTATACCTTGAGACAAATGAAAATGAGAACACGATGACACAAAATCTATGGGACACAGCGAAAGCAGTCCCAAGAGGGAATTCAGGGCAATACAGGCCTACCTCAAGAAAAATCTCAAATAAACAATCTAACCTTACACTTAAAGGAACCTAGAAAAAGAACAACAAACAACTCCCAAAGTTAACAGAAGGAAGGAAATGATAAAAATCAAAGTGGAAATAAAATAAAGTCTAATAAAACAATACAAAAGATCAATGAAACCAAGAGTTGGTTCTTTGAAAAGATAAACGAAATTGATAAACCTTTAAGCATACTCATCAAGAAAAAAAGGCCCAAATAAAATCAGAAATAAAAGTGAGAACTCTCACCACAAAAATGCAAAGGATTATAAAGAAATACTACAAACAATTATATGCCAACAAAGTGGACAATCTGGAAGAAATGGATGCATCCCTAGAAACATATGATCTGAGACTGAATCGAGAAGAAACAAAATCTGAACCGACCAATTAATACTAAGGAAATTGAATCAATAATCAAAAAACTCCCCAAATAAGTCTTGGACCAGACGGTTTCACAATGTCAAACCAAAAAATTTGGTGAATTTTACCAAACATTCGAAGAACTAACAGCCATTCCTCAACTACTGCAGAAAATTCAAGAGGAAGGATGGCTCTCAAGCATTACCCTGATTCCAAAACCAGACAAAGACATTATTGAAAAAAGAAAATTATAGGCCAAAATCACCGATGAACATAGATGCAAAGATCTTCCATAAAATGTTAACAAACCAAATTGAGCAATACATTAAAAAGATCATAAATCATGATCGAGCTGGATTTATTCCTAGGATGCAAGGCTGGCTGAGTATCTGCAAATCAATTAATGTGATATATACTACACTAACAAACTGAAAGATAAAAATATGATCATATCAATAGGTGCAGAAAAAGCAATTGACAAAATTCAGCATCCATCTAGGATAAAAACTCTCGGCAAAATGAGAATAGGAGAACATACCTCAATATAATAAAGGCCATATATGACAAACCTACAGCTAACATCATACTCAATGGGGAAAAGATAAACACATTTTCCTTAATATCAGGAACAAGATAAGGATGTTCACTTTCACCACTTCTATTCAACATAGTATTGGAAGTCAGACAAGAAAAAGAAAAAAGGCATCCAAAATGGAAAGGAAGAAGTTATTTGTACATGACACGATACGACGTATAGAGAACCCTAAAGATTCCACCAAAAAATGATTAGAACTGATAAATGAATTTTAATATTCAGAAATTGGTTGCATTTCTACACACCAATAATGAATTAGAAAGAAATTAAGAAAACCCATTTATAATTACATTAAAAAAAAATAAAATACCTAGGAATAAATTTAAACTCAAGAAGTAAATAACTTGTACCCCAAAAATTATGACATTGAAGAAAGAAATTAAAGAAGATGCAAATAAATGGTAGCATATACCATGCTCATGAATAAGAAGAATTAACATCGTTAAAATGTCCATTTTACCCAAAGCAATCTACAGAGTCAATGCAATCCTTATCAAAATACAATGGTATTTTTCACAGAATAAGAACAAATAATCCGAAAATTTATATGGAGCCACAAAAGACCCTGAAAAGCCACAGCAATCTTGAATAAAAAGAATAGGTATCACATACAATATCAAACTATACTACAATAATAATCAAAACAGCATGGTACTGGCATAAAAACAGACACATACATCAATGGAACAGAATAGATAGCCCAGAAATAAACCCATGCCTATGTGGTCATTTAATCTATGATAAAGGAAGAAAGAATATACAATGGGGCAAAGACAATCCCTTCAATAAATAGTGTTGAGAAAACTGAACAGATACATGCCAAAAAATTAAACTAGACCACCTCCTTACACAACCCAGCAATTCCACTCTGGGTATTTATCTGAAGAAATCCAAAGCACTAATTCCAAAAGATAAATGACCCCCATGTTCACTGTAGCATTTTTTACAATAGCAGAGATATGGAAGCAACCTAAGAGCCTATCAATAGACGACTGGATAAAATAGATGTGGTACATATATATGATGGAATGGGCCACAAAAAAAGAATGAAATCTTACTATTTGTGACAACATAAATGGACCTTGAAAGTATTATGGTAAGTGAAATAAGTCCAACAGAGAAAGACAAATACCATATGATCTCACTTATATGCGGAATCCAAAGAACAAAATAAACGAACGAAACAGAAACAGATTCTTAGATGCAGATAACAAACTGGTGATTTCCAGATGGGAGGGTGATTGGGGGCAGGGTAAAAAAGATAAAGGGATTAAGCAGTACAAATTGGTAGTTATGAAATAGTAATGGGGATGTAAAGTATAGGGAGTATAGTCAATATATGGCAATAATTATGTATAGTGCCAGGTGGGTACTAGAATAGCCAGGAGGATGACTTCATAAATTATATAAATGTCTGACCACTATGCTGTACATCTGAAACTAATATAAAATAATACTGAATGTCAGCTGTAATTTAAAAATCAAAAAGGTGGGGGGAAGGTGAAGAGGAATAAGAGGTTCAAACTTCTAGGTATAAAACAAATCATGGAAATGTGGTGTACGGCATAGGGAATATAGTCAATAGGATTGTGATGGCATTATGTGGTGTCAGCTGGTTGCTGGACTTATGGTGATCGCTGCTTAGGTATATAAATGGTGTATAACTATAGTGTACACCTGAAAATAATACAGTATTTTATGTTAGCTATATTTTAATAAAATCTTAAAGGAATTACATCGTTAAAGCTTTTAATACATATTATATACCAAATTGCGCCCTGGAATAATTGTACCAATTTGCACTTTCATCAGCAGTTTAGGAAAACACTCACTGTTTTGAGCATGTATTATTTCTAGAAATATATTCCCTGGTATGACAGATGAAAAATTATGCCTTGTTTTCATTTATATTTTTCATTTGTTCATAAAGCCATTTAATTCATTTTTTTCAGTAAAACTGCTCCTATGTTTTTGTTTTTTAAGAAATATACATTAACTATGGTAAACTTGCTTTCATTATATGTTATAAATATTTTCCCAGTGTATCATTTACTTTCTAATTTTCCCTGTGGTATTTTTGGCGTATAAATGTTTTTTACCTTTTTAAAATCAAATCTGTCAATCCTTTATAGTTTCTGCCTTTGAGGTAACATTATATAAATATTCACTAATATTTTTCTGATACTTTATTTGTTTACATTAAGTCTTTAATCTACCTAGACTTTATTTTAGTTTAAGATATGAAGTAGGCACCTATATTTTCAAGGTCAGCCAGTTGAAAAAATGCTTTTCTTACCTGAGCATCATACTTGACAGCAGCAGAGAGCAGAGCAATGGCATTCTCCTCACAAATTCCTTGCTTGATAGTTTGTTGACAGAGCTTTTTCAAACGATTTTCTCTATAAAATGTAGCCAAATCTAGTAATCCTGATAGAAAGAGATGTTTATTAGGGGAAGCAATTTCAAGCCTCCTGATTTAAATTCATTCAACCCTTCAATAATGATTTTGTCATTATTTTGAATATAATCCTTAGGGAAGGCTGTGTAAAATAGATTTGTGCTGACTTACTCTCTGAGCAGGTGGCTCTACCTAAGAATGTAACCGAATGGAGCAAATACAGTGTACAAAAAGGAGCTGTGGAAAAATGAGCACAGTGAAAATAGCTTTAATATGTTTCCTAGAAATGCTCCTCTAATTATTTTTCCACCTGCATTACCCATATCTGCTCTTGGGTCATTTCCATCAGCATACGCGCACACTATGTTAGTGCTCATCTTTTTAAAAAAGAAAAACCTTTCGTGGACATATGTCAGCTTTCTGTCACCCTACTCCATTTCTCTGCTCCTCTCTATAGCAAACCTCCAGGGTAGAGTCGTCTCTGCCTGCTGCTTCCATTTCTCACCTCCCAGTCTTACCACAAGCTACTCCAGGCAGAATCCCACCTCCCACCCCCATTCCTTGACATCACACCTGTGATTGTCACTAATGGCTTCCACAGTGCTATGTCCAAAGGGCTATTCTCTAGTTTCACCTTACTCAAGATTGACACATAATTTGATGTGGTTGATGATGTTCCCTTTCTTGAAATGCTTTGTTACTTGCTTACATTTTTCGTCTTCTTAATTAGTTATTCTTCAGTCTCTTGGCTGGACCATTTTTCCTGACTTCCAAATGTTTGAGTGCCCCAAGGTTCAATCCTCAGATTCTTATTTCACTTACTTCCCTAAGTGAGTCCATTTAAATATCATCTATAAATGTTGATGATTCCTGGTATATTATCTGTCACCTACTTTCAAGTAATTCAGCATAGAGATGTGTGTGGGTGTGCGTCAATTTTAATCTATCCCAAGGGACACTACGAAGTAGTCTAATCAGTAATGGTCAGTTAGCATCTGAAAGATCCCTGTCAGGAGCTTCAGATACTGCTGCCAGAAATCTTCATTAAAGAGTACTAGAAATACTTTGTCACTGGTGAAATGAGTGGTGTTGGGATATGTGGCTTGTCATGAGGGTCCTTTTGCTCTTACATGAATGGGGTTCAGGCACAATGAGCTAAGCAGTCCTACACCCTCACGGCAGTACATTCACTACGTGTATGTCCAGTCCTCAGCTGCCACCTGATCCGTTAGCTGAATCTTGGTACTAGAATATTGTCACATCCACTTCAAGCTAACCTTTCATGTAAGCTACTTCAAAGAGTGCCTAGTGGACAGAGAGCTGGGATTTCATCAATCGTACAACAGTAACTGTTTTTGTACCTGTCTGCTAATAAGTTTTGTACAAGTGAAGAATTTGGTTGCAAACTCACTTTCACTGTAACATGACAAACATTATCAAAGTTATGGAAGAAAGGCCTATGGCCCACTGGATATTTAGCTGAGCCACACTTTCCCACCCTCTCTCCTATGCAGCTTAATCAGCTCGGATCTACGGTTTGAAGTAAGCGGAACTTCTACTTCGTTAAGAGACACTGAGATTTGCCCTTTGCCCTGTACCGCTGTCCCTTCCTCTGTCTTACTGCCTGTAATGCAGACGCAGAGTGAGACCATAAGAACAGGGGCCACAGGTAGGAATGCCCTGTACTGTATCCCTGTGTGAGAGAGAAGGAAACCGTCTTATTTAAGCCACTTTCTTTTTTTTTTCATTTTACTACTAGAGTTAAAGCAAATCTAAATAACACAACCTTTATGCTCAAAACCTTTCAAGGCTTTCCCTCACACCAATAATAAAACTCAAGCTCTTCATCATGGCCTTCAAGGTTATACATGATCTTGCCCAGCTCTGTCTGACTTCAGTTCCTGCCACTATCAGTCTTGCTCAGTCCACTCCAATCACTCTGGCCTCTTCCTCCTTCTCCACATGCTAAATTTGTTCCTGTCTCAGACCTCTGCCCTGTTTCTCAAGCGTAGAGAGCTCTTCCTGGGTACCTGCATGGCTTGCTCCCTCCTGCTTCCCTAAGTCTCTGCCCAGTGCACCTCCCGATGGGGGCCTCCCTGCCCCTCCTGACTAAACACTTGTATTTATCTCTTTAGGGTTGCTTTCCCTCATGTGAATACAAGCTCCACAGAGGCAGAGCCTCACTCTGTCTCCTCACAGACAGACAGGAGCTGCAGCACTCAGGGGGCCTGGGCACTAAAGGACTGTGGGAGAAAGAAAGGGAACTATATAAAACCTCACAAATCAGGCTTTTGTTTACCTGAGTAAAATTAAATATCGCTCTGGTAAAAAGTGGTTTTGGTTTATACATGTAAAATGAATGTTTAACTTAAAAATTGGGGGGTTGAAATCTTTCTTTAGTGCTTTATAGAAGTAATTCCTTAATTTCTTTGTACCACTGGGCAACAATATTGCTGACAGTTGTAAACTGAAATTTAATGTTTTTATTTTGTGCCCATTTGACGCCCCATGTTGCTTTTTCACTGTCAGCAAGCCTGAGGTGCGGTGAACGGCCCCAACTCCATTCAGGACAGAGTACACCAGACCACAGTGATCTATCTGTCTGTCTCAAAGCCATCTGGGAGGGAAATTCGCAGTTATGGAAACCAGTAGGGCTTATTACGTGCATTTTGTCTTTTTTGTAATGCAAACATCTTCAGAGCAGCAGGTGTAGTAGCTAGAAGTTATGTACAATACTTACATATAGTATTAAGAAAGGATAGCACCCACCCACACTGGCAATGGTTTGAGAATTCCTCTATCTCTTATTTTATCTATCTAGTCAACTTTTGTATGAAGTAGTAACAAGGAGTTTGGTTCAACACACAGAAAGAGAACTCCTGTGACTGCCCTCACAGCCACTTCCATTCAAGCGCCACAGAAACCACCATGCCAAGCTACTCAGCATTTTGCATATGTCTTGGTAAAGTCGGGCGGCAATTACCCACTGCTTCCTCGGGGGGAAGGCTGATGCTGTCTGTGTATAGGTATTCCAGGAAGGCTCGGTAAACAGGATATGAAAATTCACTCATTTCTACAATATCATCCTCACTGTCTTCCAATGAAGAACGAAAATGCTCACACCTGCAGGAAGAAAAGCATGTCAGGGCCTGGCTTCTGGGCAATAGCGGATGGCCATAAGGAGCACGTCCCCATGGGGTTCAAGGGGGAAAAGCTAACAAGGAGACAGAAGAGCCGCAGCACGCACGACACTCTCCAAGTTGCATACCTCATCTTCTTGCCCTGGCCTCTCATTTCCTCTTCTCTGGCCAGTTTTCAAACAACCTTATTAACTCAATAAGGCTGCAAATGAACACTTGCTGTAATGGGGCTGCCTCTGTGGCCACTCTGGGTGAACAGTGCGGCCTCCCTGGCATAGTTCCCACACCACGTCCACTGAGCAGCATTTACGGAAGTCAGGTGGGCTTGTTTTTATAACCTCTGAGTAGTTTTGTTTCTTCACTTCCTCTTATGGGTTGCATTGTCTCCCACAATTCCTCATATGTTGAAGCCCTAACCTCAGAATATAACAGTATTGGGAGAAAAGATGCAACCAAGTGAAAATGAGGTCATTAGGGTAGACTCTAATCCAGTATGACTGGTGTCCTTATAAAAAAGGGATTTGGACACAGACATGCACACAGGGAGAGCACCATGTGAAGACTGCAGTTATGTGGCCACAACCCAGGGAATGCCAAAGATTGCCAGCAAACCACCAGAAGCTAGGAGACTAGTGGGCCAGATTCTTCTTCACAGCCCTCAGAACTCATCCTGCTGATACCTTGATCTTGGACTTGTAGCCTCCAGAACTTTGAGAGAATAAATTTCTGTTGTTCAAGCCCAGTTTGTAGTACTTTGTTACAGCAGCCCTAACAAACGGACACACACACACATCCTTTATGAAGTTTTATGGGCTATGTAGTAAGAGTGAACAAATGTTGCACAGTCTGACCTTACCAAGAGGTGAACTTGAAACTAAAATGCTATACTGAGTTTGTAATTTGTTGCAGTAGGATTTAAATATCTGTTACAGAACAACATGATGATTTTCAAAAATTATTATGATAAGCCAGGCACAGAAGAATGTGTACCGTATAATTCCATATATATAAACTTCTAGACAATGCTAACTAATCTATAGTGACAGAAAGAAGATCAATGCTTGACCCAGGGCTCGGGCAGGAAGGCTCTTTGAGGGGTGACATAAATGTTCTGTATCTTGGGGCAATGTTTTCACAGGTGTATTCATATATCACAGCTGCTGAAATACTTTAAATGGACGGAGCTAATTGCTCAAAAATACATCAATAAATTCGATTTTTTAAAAATCTGTGTTAGCTTTACCCCAGACCTTGTTGCTCTGGAAAAGCCTTATCTTCTCTTTTTCCAGTCATCTAAAAGTTCAGTGCCTCACAGCTGACTGAGAAGAGCTACGCTCAGGGCTGAGCCCAGCTCCTAGCTCAGGAATTTAGCCCACACAGCGCTAAAAGCCCGGGACACACTCAGCCCCCTGGGTGGCTGGCTGCTGCCGACATTGAGGTGGGCAGACCATTTGCAAAGTCCTCTAAGGAAACCTACTGTGCGTATGCCCTGAGCCACAGCTCTGGCACTCGTTGCATCTGGCCTCTATTATTTCTTGTTTCATGTATGATGTGTTTCCTCCGACTGTACTGTAAGCTCATTAAGGGCAGAACCTGCCTTCAGTTTTTTCATAATTACGTAAGTGCCTAGCATAGTTTGTGGGATTAGCAAATAACAAATGTATTTATTTCAATTCTTAAAATAAATGATTCCTTACCTAATTTTGAGAAGGACTTTGTGTGCATAAATGTACTTTCCATCCACCAGAAACTTCAGGTCTGCGGTGTTGGGGTTGTCAAATTCCCTCTTCAGTGACTCAGCCACTGTGAGGTGGTCGTCCGGTTCTGAGAAAGAAACACCAGCGTTTCTAGAGTGAACCATAGACAATGAAAATGCAGGCTGCAGTACAGCATTGCCCAGCCGACATGAATGAAAGAGCGATGCTTTTTTCCCTATATATGGGTTCACATCTCTGAAATCATTAAGGATCAGAACCTCACATCTACCTGTAAATTTGGCAAAACAACTAAGAAGTCCAAAACCGCCTCACTAAATGCAATTTTTGATTGTTCAAGTAAATATACTAGCTAAAAAAAACATATAGTTTCCCAGTCAAGTTAAAAAGCAGTCAAAAAATTTAATTCAGTATGTAGTGTTGTTGTCTGAAACTTTCAAGAAAAATGAATCAATCACATTAGTTCCTTTGCACAGGAGCCCCTTAGAGGTAAATAAATTACATGATATTGCAATTAATGAAGTCATGTCAAAATAAAAGCAAAGAGTTCTCTTCCTAGTTTTTAAGCCATCACCCAAATCGACAGTGATCAGCTCACCCACAGTGAGGAGGCGCCACGAGACGGCGGGCGTGGCAAAGCAGGCGAACACGTCGTCCGTGCAGGAGAAGCTGGTGAGGTGAGGCAGGATCACCGACTGGCCCCGGCACTGGCCCCACATGTACACGTGCCCGCCCTGGGTCTTGGCAGCAGATGTGTGGGTAGAGTGGCAGGCCGCAATCTCTATAATTCTGAATTCACAAACACCAAGTAAACACAGTAAACAGGAGAAGAAATGAGTCGATCTCTCCTTCCCTTAGGTTTAAGTGACTTAAAAAAACAAAACAAGACTTACACACCTAATCTAAATTTTCAGGCAATATACAGGTATTTACATTGAAGCTATACTTCAACACACATAACTCATGAAGATCTTATTACCACTTCTTGCCAGTAGCCCTATAAAAATATGTACCATCCCATTTTGAAACTCAAGTACAATTCAAGAGAGTAAAGACCAAAAGAGAAAAAAGTGATATACTTTTTTTCTTAAAATATTTCTTACTAAAGTAGATAATTAAGACTGGCTATCTTGACCCAGCTTCAATAAATATTTTCATCAACACTTCACCAATTTTAAGGTTAAATAGAGCATGCTGTAAGTCACCCTACCTCACACTGCAAACATAAATCCAGTAGTTCTAAGTCACTGGACTGTGTCATCTGAAGCCCAACAGTACAGTTTTTTGGAGTCAACACATGTTAGACCCTAGTGGAGTAAGTACATGGTTGCCAAGGAGATAATTCTCAAAATACTTCCGAATAGAAAACACAGTTGTATTGATTTGGAAATAATGACTTTGCTCTAAGAATAAGCCACCATACAGAGTCAAAGAAGATAGTACACTGTTTTACCCCAAGTGAAGTTGCCATCTTGACTTTGTCACAGCAGGCAATGGTGCCAGCATCCCCAGTGACTGAGGCTCAGAACTTCAGAATCATCACTTACCACTTTCTTCAGATTATCCGGGTGACAAATAACATAGATTCTTTGTAAATTCTCCCATCAGCCACCACCCTAGGTCAGATATACCCACATGGGAACCAATGTAACAGCCTCCTAGGTCTCTCTCAGATCTCTCTCCTCTGACCCAAGCTGCACAATGCTGACAGGTTAATAATCGTCTTGAAACACCATTCTCATTAGTACTTTCAAACATTTAGTGACTTCGCATAAGATAAATTCCAAATATGTGACATTAAGGCCTTCCATAATTTGGCTTCCACCCATGCCCACCCTTCTTTCAAATCACTTTTGCCCACACTTCCTATGATGCAACAAACAGATGTACTCACTCGCTGTCCCGCAACGTCTTTATTCAAAAAGTCTTTATTCAGGAATGTTTTTTCCATTCTCCCTGTCTTAGAAATCCTACCCATCTTTTAAGACTCAGTTCAAACAGTCCCAAGGTAAGAGGTCTCTGGCTCACCTGAGCTCTTGCAGTACCTTCTTGTCCACATCACTCCAACCTAACCCTGTTATCTTTTCAGGTGTAGATGTCCTCTTACCTCTTTGCTTAGATTACGAGTTCCAGGAAGGCTGAAGAACTGCATTATTTCTTTCTCCCTAAGCACCCAGTACAGTGTCTTACTAAATACAATTTGTAGATCATTTCATTCACTAATTGGTGAAGACTCAACAAAACGGCAACTGAGGGTAGGGTAGGACGCCACTGACCAAGGCTAGCAGCTGAAAGGTGGAGAGAGTCCTTCACTGTATCCTTAACTACATTTCCCAATCAAGGAGGGAGGATGGTCACCTTACAACCTGGAGACTGCTATGGCAGCTTGCCTCAGAAAACTGAGACACACTGCTTTCACATGCAGCCCAAGCAATTACACTGGTTTATTACAGGACAGCTCTCAGCTCTTGAAAACAACCCAAGAGTACTGGAGGAAGAGGCTATGATGTTCCATTGTGAATCCCAGCTCCACCACAAGGCTGTGTGACCTTGGGAATGTCCCTGAGCCTCTAGGCATCTCTGTTATCACACTGTAAGGCCAGTATGTGAAAAGTAAATGAAAAAATGTGAAGCACCGAGCACAATATCTGGTGTATAAATGATAGCCTAACAGTAGAGGTTTCTTAATATTATTACTTCTACTCAACATTTTAAGTGCCAAAGCCTCCCTTATGTAGATACTGTATATTTCAAATGACCAATTCAGATTAGTAAGGCCTTTCCTGTTTGCATGGTTAAGTCAGTCAAATTGGCTCAAATCTCTAATACAGAGGTTTACAAAAGAACCTTTCCCCCTTGGGGAAAATGGTAAATACTATTTGGCTTCTCAATAAGCATAGCCTTTTCAACAAATAAAGAGAAAGGGAGCAAGAAATGGAACATATACATTTATTCAAAGAAAAGTGCATCTACTGTTATCATCTACCCTCATATGCTACACCTGCATGTGAGGGTAGCAACACAATTCATTTTAGATGGCTTGGTGTAGTAGGCAGGACATGGGCTGGGAGTTAGACAGTAGCCTATAGACACCAAGTTACTTAAACTCTTATAATCTATTTTATCATCTTAAAAAAGAAACAATGGAAGAAGTGGTGCAAGATGGCAATCATCTCACAGGCCTGTGGTAGAGAGTAAATGAAATAAGCACGGTGCACATTCAAAACCAGTTTCTTCCCATGGCTGAAAGTGTTTAACAGATGCTGCAGGAACTACAGGGCCTGCCCGGAGGAGCTCATGATTCAGCTGAAGAAAGAAGTGGTATATTTGTGAGAATGCAAACAATTCCCAGATAACACCACAGTGTAGCACCAACTACAAGTGCTGTGGTAAGGGAAAACACCTAGGCCTCTTCAGGGAGTATTTAAGTAAAAAGGAATTCAGCTGGGTCACATGGGCTTTGGATGAGTAAGAGCATGTGAGGCAAAGGGAAACGCGCACAAATGTGCGGGCACAGGGTGGGAAAACTGATGAAGGCGCCACGTTCAGAGGACCTAATGGAACAGACGGGCAGCACTGGGAGCAAGGAGCAGGCAGCTCTGCTAGGAACATTGGTGTCAGTCTTAAATCCAAGGCTGAAGGGCTTAGATTTGATCCGATGTGACAGACAAATAGGAAACAGCTTCGTACACAGGGCCAACGATGTGATGAAAATTTTATCCTTAGATTGCTCTAGCAACACTGCAAGGCTGACAGAAAGGGAGAGAAAGAATAGCCTAGAAGGTAAGCTGGGGAAGGATGATGGGTGTGCAGATGTCAAGTCCAAGGAAGCAAAGGGGTGAGAATGAGAAGAAGAGGTATCAAAGATGGCCCCAGAGTATGAGTCTAAGAAAACGCCAAACTGGCAGAGGGGAGGGAGCGGGGGCAGTGCCAGTCTGATGGCAGGTCAGGGGCTCAACCTACAGATATCTACACAGTTAACAAAAGAAAAAGACCTTCTACATTTTAACCACTTTAGTTATAAAGCAATCTACTATTCTCTGGGAGGAGGAAAGGTTAGAATAGTCCAACACTGTTTAGATAAACAATAATTAACTGCCTGTTCTCATCATATTTAATGACTTCCACAATGACTGACTAGGCAAAGACTTTCAGATTTTTTGAATAACTTTTGTGTATTGTGGGAAACCACTTAAAATGGCAGATGGCCTTCCTTTCCCCTGATAATGTTCAATGAAAAATGTTAACCGATTGGAACACAATGGTGTCCATCTACACTAAACTACCCACTATCAGAAAATCAAAATAATTCAATTCCTACATTGACTTCTGAAATGTTTATTATTGGCCTCCATGAAGGGGGAGACGCCTTTGCCATTAGAGGAGGCAGGAACATTGCTTCCCAGAGAATGGTTGGTTCAGACACAGCTGAGGGGTTAAGATGCAGAAGGCTGTGGACATGGCTTTTGCTAAGTATGGCCTCGTGACATTCACCTGGAACACCTAGCACCACATGTGAAGTCAGGGGTTGGGTATAAGCTTGACTGACCACAGCACCTGCTGCAGGAACAAGAGTGGAGAAAGTTTAGAGGGAACCTTCAGGTCTAGGCTTGGGACCAAAGCCATAACCAAGCCACAATGCCTTTGCCTAAGGTCATATGTTCTTATATCTGATTCATACCAACACACAAATTTTGAAGCTCAGTTTTGCCAGCCTTATATGCAAAAGGCAATGACTATAAACTGACCTAACTTTTACCATCAGGATATCTGGCATATTTCACATTTTATTTTGTATCCATTCTTAATGAAAATAATCACTACATGTTCATAATAAATAGGTTTTGTGTAACCTCAGCAAAATGATCTACAATAACTGCATAGCTTAATGGCTGTGAAGTAGTAGAAATTAAAAAGCAGAGTGAGAAAATATATAAAACAGAAAACAAGAAGCAAAAAAACGGTAATTTGTGAGGGAAAAGAATATGGAGGAAAAAATAGTGATAATAAAAAGATCCAGAGTAGCGATTCCCAGTCCCGGTTTTGTAAGAGGCCAACATATTACCAGTTACCTCCAGAAGTCACAAAATTACAGAAATGCAAGGCAAAGTTAGTGTTAAAACAATTTAAATTCAAATATGCTTTTATGAACTTTAAGAACAAAGACACAAATGCTGGTGAACCAAACTATTGAAACTTCAAAAAGTTTGGGAATGATGGGGCTAGAGGGAAGAGAATCATTTTAATTATTAAAATTACTTTGATGTGAACATAAATTGCTGGTACATGTTAGCATTCTTCATCATAAGGAGACCTCCATGGGAAAACTTTTTAAAGGTTTTCCTTGGTTTGTTGTTTAGCAAAGAATCCAATTAGACAAATTTTTACTTTCCACTTCTGTGAACAGGTAACTAAGACCTGCCAACCCGCCCCACCCCAAATTCAAGCCTGTTGTTTCTAACCAGTCAAGCTTCCCTGTAATGGGCCCTAAAAGAGTTAGAGGTAAGTTCCTAAGAGATAAGTCATAACATAGCTGCAAATTTCCAGTCATTGAAAAGGGTGAGTGGGTACAGAACAAGTCCCAGCAGACTTAATTAATTCCTCCCTTTCAATATTCCTGTGATCGAGATCCTGCAAGCTCAGATATTACCACATGAAATTCAAGCATGGAAAACTGAGAAAAGCAGGAGTATCTCATTCAAAACATTCATCCACAATATTTGTAGCCAAAATAATGTTTATATGGACAACAGAGATTGCATGTGTGTGTTTCACAGTTGTAATTCAAAAACTGAAAAAAGGTAAGAAGTTTTTTAAAAATTTTAAAGTTTTTTTTTTTTCTAAGATGGAAAAGCAATAGCTAACTCTCAAATTCCAGGTAAGGAACCTGGCACTGACATAACTTCCATGCCCTGACTCTCTTTCTCCCACCAAGCTGTCCTACAACCCATCTGTCCCTGCATGCCTGTCACCTGTCAGAAGACCAGGGCTGCTTATTCTGGAACTATCAGGGACCAGCAGTGCAACGTAGGGCAAGCTGCTGGTGCCAGATGGTAGCAGATTCTGTTAAGTCCAAGGGCGGATGAGATAAAGTCTAAGTAAGAGTAGCAGCACAATAAAATGGTAAGGTACCATACAAATAAATGTTTTTATTTCTATGTTACTTTGGTTTGATCTTATAACACTTCTTTGTTGTTTTGTCTAAATACTAAATGTCCCTACCCCTGGATTTGCTAGCCTGAGGCATTTTTGAGATTATTCCAAGCCTCAAGACTGTCCCTTCTCTTTTTACTGAGTAGTTCTGAACTACCTTTAAAAAGAAATGCAAATGACATGGCTGCAGGTACCTAGTGCGAGCCCACTAGTTCAAGACCTCATTTATCTCTCCTCTTCAGTTCTTAAGGAGTCCTGGTCTTATTCTAAGATTTGGAGTAGGGGAAGTAAAAACCTATTTAACATAGGTTAAATAAAATTAGCCAGGTTTACAACACTCAAATGAAAATCAAGGGGATTGAAAAATGACAATTTGGTTCTTTTTTTCACTATTAAATATTACAACAGAAAAATACAAAAGATTTTCATACAAATGAAAGATAATTTATCCATATATTTATTTTTAAATCAGATATAACAAAAAATAATAGGTAAAATAAAAATGAAAATAGCAGTATGAATTTCTACAAAGATTATAATCCTGAATGAAATGTTTTGTTCCATACTACTGTCTCAGAAATGAAGAGTGAAAAGCAGTTGATATGTCATGTTTCAGAAATCTGAAAGAACTTCAAAAACAGTAGGATAAATTGGAAAAAATTTTGGATATGCTAATTACTTAACACAACTTTACAAACAATGGCACAAAACTAAGTCAATTTTCTAACCATTTTACTCTTCCTCATAATGACAGCTTAGGAGTTAAGGTCATGAAACAGCTCTATCCTTTTCAACTGGGGTATTTTATAAGTAGCCGAGTGAACGACTTTGTACTACATCTTACGTACTTTCATTTTCCTAAACCACAGAAGATAAGACCTAAAATATTATTAACTTCCTCTTCAGAATGTAAAACTGAACGATGAGGATGTGGTGGGAAGGTAATTTGTGAGGGAGAAGAATAATATAGAATAACTGTTGGAGGTTTAGTCATTGTTTATACAGACAGAGCAGCTATTGGAGGTATAGACGAAATACAACTAAGGGAAAATAGAATATTTAACATACAGTCAAAGTCCCCAATAATTCAAAAATCAATTTAAAAAAGGAATGAATGCTCTCGTTAAAGAATATTCTAGTACTAGCAGTAAATTCCTCACAATTCTATACCATGTCTAAGTTTTGTTTAATCACCAAAGAGCACTGAAGTTATTTTGAAGATGCGCGTATTACCTGTCCTTTTCCACAGCGACAGGAGTAGGATAGGACTGGTTACTTTTATTGCCAGTGCCTAACTGGCCATAAGAATTTGCACCCCAAACATACACTTGGCCTTCATCTGTTAATACTAATGTGTGTGCGTAGCCACAGGCAACCTGAAAGAGAAAAACCAAATCCATTCAGGCCCACAAGCAGAAGGAAACATGCTTTCACAGGCTAGGTTAAGAATCAAAAATGAAAAAAAGGGAAGAGGCAGCCTGCCCAGAGGGGCAAGCGTTAAGTAGGGTAACCAATAACCCTCCAGAGCCCTAAGAGTAAGACAGGCAGGAATGTTTTAGTGACATAAGTGCTGTGTTCAGCTTCAACGTAGCGTTCATTAGGCTCACGGAGCTCAAGTGGTGTGAAGTGAATAAGAAACAGGTTTTTTTTTAAGAATTATTTTCTTTTTTAATTATAAAAGTAAAACACGTTCGGTGTGAAAAAGTAAAGTATACATACAAAATTAACCTCAAGATCAAGATATTTTTCTATTTATATATAGATACAGAAATACGTGCCAATAGGTTTTTTTAAGTGATCATATTATATAAGCAGTTATGTGTCTTTCTTTTTCATTACCTATAGCATTATGCCCATATCGTTAAAAATCCTTTGTAAACATCATGTCCATTTGTATACATTTAGTGTAATTTATTTACCAATTAACTTTTTGTTTGCTTAAATTATGATACATCTATTATTTACTAAAGTTACCATTTCTTTCTCTCTTGCCTTCCCTCTCTCTCTCTCCTATACCTTTTCCTATATCTTCTCCACTAATTCTGTGATTTTCTCTTTGGTTCATTAGAATGGAGTAGAATTACAGATCGAAGGGAATGAATATTTTTAAGGCTCTTGCTACCTACTGCTAAAGTTTCTTTGGAAAACCTCGTAACATTTTATATTCCAATTACTGTGTATGAGAGTGTCCTAGAAATATAAATTTTCTGATGAACATCTATAGCTTAATTCAGGGGAATAGAGCTTGAACCTTTACTTCAATAAAGACATCCAAGCAGCTAAACTTTTCATCCTGCTAAGAAAACTGTTTTTAGTACTGTTTTATTTGCTACTGAAGACTTAAAAATAAGCACACGCAAACCAACAGTGAACGTACCCGCTGGACGCAAATGCCTTGCAAAGCTGCGATTCTGCAGGGGGTTGACTGGTTGCCACTGCTGCCGAGTCCGAGCTGCCCATTTCCATTGTAGCCCCAGACGTAGACCTGAGAGAAAAGGAGAGACGCTATGCCCCCAAATTCGAAAAGCAGTCAAGTTCTCTGCTGTGAGAAACATACCATGTTGGTAAGATACCGATAGGGCAAACAAGTTTTTTTAAACGACAAAAACTTCTTACCTCCCCATTGTCCACCACTGCCACTGAGCACATCTGCCCACAAGCTATGTTCACAACTACTTTATTCTGTAAGCAGCCAGTGACTCTTCGAGGGATCGGCTGATTAGCTGTTGATCCAGATCCTACCTGCCCGGAGTTATTATAACCCCAGGCAAATACCTATTTGAAAGAAGAGATCAATTAATGAAACACACTAATTTATAAAGTGTCTCAATTAGACACTAACATGTACTTATGGCATCTTATTTTTGCTCTCAAAGTGGTTGATACCCATAAACTGTCACAACACAGGCAGAGAAGTTTTCGTAAAATTCATTCTTACAAAATGCATTAACTTATAAAATTAGGTTACTGGTGTTATTTACACAAAAAGCAATAATTATTACCAAATATCATTTAATACTTATAAGAATATCTACTTTGCCTCAGCCATATTTTCCAGCATGTGGAGATTTTTCTTTTTGCAAATAACTCCTTGAGCATAGCAATATAGAAGGAAGGATACATCCTTTTAAATTTAACAGTAATAGAAATCTTTACTTCATAAAGGCATACTTCATGATATAAACACCATGACTATGAACTCCTAACAATAAGACTGAATATTTGAGAACAGTAGTTATTTTAATCAAATGATCGTATTTCTAGGACTGCTATAGGAATCTATATAATCTTACTGAAAAATAATCAATGAGATTTATGCTGACTATTCTCACCTCTCCATCAGATGTTAGCACCAAAGAATGGTAAGACCCACAGGCAACTTCAATCACTTGTTTGTTTGACAAATTAGTAGAGATATGACAGGGCACTAAACCGTGATTAGTTGTCCCATTGCCCAGCTGGCTATAAGCATTATGACCCCAGGTAAAGATTTCTCCTTCTAAAAATAAAAAGAAACATAACCAGCTTTCAAAATATCTACTTCATTATATTAAAATATATATTGCGCACTTCTACAAATGAAAACTAAAAATTAAGGTGCAAAAGCTAATTAACCTCCCTATTCCAACAAACTCGTTCTGTAAAAAAAATATTTGAAAGTATAAACTTCATTCTACCTCAAAGCAACAAGATGAAATTTAAATAAATGCAATCATAATAGCTAGAAGATAGGTTTTTAATAAACAGTGGAAAAAAGGCTGCTCAGAGTAACAGAAAACACATTAGATTAAAAGTTGAAAGATTATAAGGTGATTAAACTTCTCCGGGCCTTATTTTCCTTATCTATAAAATGATCATCAAGTTATTTTTTTAAATCTTTGTTATTATATCACTTATTGTGTGGTATAATATACACTCATAAAAGTTCATAAAATATATATGTACAGTTTTATAAATAGTTATAAAGCATACACATCCACGTGCTACCACTCAGGTCAAGAAATATAACCTTTGATCACCTCCAAAGCCCCCACATATAAATCCTGAATAACAGAATTTAGTTGGTTCTGTTTTTGAACTGGAAATAAATGGAATAATAAGGTATATACTCGTTTCATCTGTATTTTCTACCATATTGTCTCTTTGTGCTACATCCCAGATAATTTCTTCTGATCTATCTTCCAGTTTATTTTCTCTTTTGCTGTGTCCAAACTACTGTAAAACTTTTCCACCGAGTTTTTCATTTTAACAATTACATTGTATATTTGGTTCTTTTTCCAATCTTCTGTGATCTCTGAAGGTATCTCCAAGCTCATTGTTTACTTCCTCGAACATGATAAAATATAGCCATCTTATAATTCTGCCCACAGATAATTCTAATATCTTATATTTAATGGTTAGTTTTTGCTATTTTTTTGCTGGTTTTCAGTCTTGGTGACTGTTTCCTTAAGAACCTGGTTATCTTTGACTATGTGCTTCTAATTGCCACTGGAAAATTATTTTTCAATGGCATTGTACTCCCTCAGACCCAGGATAAAGGTGCCTTCCTAAAGGAAGGATTTGCACTAACTTCTATTGAAGAGCTACCTCTTGAATAGATTCAAGGCTTTTTTTGTGAATTGGAATAAAAATCCATTGTTACAATCTCTCAGGGAGAGGTTCTCTTTTTTTTCTTCCCGATTTGTTCAGAGCCAAGAAAATCTTCAGTTCAATCCCATAGAGATGGAAGAACTGATTCATCCTTGCCTTGAGAATGTAGCCCTTTGTGGTTCCAGCCAAACGTGTGAGGTCTTTGACTTACGACCCCTTCACCTCATGAGGACATCAGACCACAGCTCCATTTAAGTGGACAGGCAGATGTCTCTAAGGCAAAATTAGCTTCAAGTTCCATTCTAACTTCTTAATTCACTGTTTCCCAAACCTGACCTGTTAATTCCTTTCTGCCTTGTCAGTGCTTTGATGCCTTTATAAAAAAAAAAAAATTTTTTTAAATATTTTTTCTAGAATTTTTAGCTGTTTTTAGTGAAGAAGTAGTATAAATAATCTAGCCTGCTATAACTGGCAACCAAAATCCCTAAAACTTATTTTTTAAATGTGAAATAAATATACAAAAGAATATAAAATTTATTTTCAGTTTAAAGAATACTAATAAAATAAAAAACTCTAAAGTATGTCTTAATTATAATGTCTTATTCTGAATTCATGAGCCATGAGAATATTTAATTCCTTGTATTACTAATACCAACCACATCCATCGGTCACTGTTTAATGTAAGAATCAAAGAATGCTAAGTTAGAGGGGACCTTGGAATCTGGCTTTCAGTTCACAGATCAGGAATCTCAAATTCAGAAAGTCCAGCTTGAATTCAGTGTTCTAATGCAAAATAATTAACTTATAGAGTATAAACAAAAGGGGCTTACTGGATTTAAAGCATTGTCATTCTTACCTCTAAAGTGCCAATAATTGCTAGATTCCATCTGCTACATTATCTGACTCTGACATTCAGATATGTTCGCATTTTATGTTGTCTAAAGCATAGTCAAGGGCAGAGCCCAAAACTCTTGCCCAATCAAAAAGTATGTTCTCAACTTAAGAAGTAGTCCTAGTTTTGTTTCTCAACACATAAAACAATGGCTAAAATTCAACACTGTGTTTCCAGGTTACCTGTTGTTGCAAGGATAACATGTGGACCGCTGCCATAGCTGAAGCAGGCTATTTTTTTGCCACTCAAAGAATCCAGTCTCCGAGGTTCAATAGTGCTCTGGATGTCACCTAATCCCAAACAGCCACAACAGTTTGTGCCAAGCACAAAAATCTGTGGGGAAAACCATTGTTAGTTCAAACAGTTCTATTTCTGACATCCTTACATTCAAACAGGCATAGTCCTCCTAAAACAAAACTACTTCATTACATAATAATAAAAAAGAATCTTTTTTTTTTTTTACCTTAATTCCTTAGTTCCCCCAAGGTCTTAAGCTTAGCAAATCCATTACTAAGAATAGGAGGGGCTGAATTTTTTTTTCAAAATTACCTCATCATTCACTGTAGAGTATAAAACTTCATTGCCAGCACTGCCAAAAACACAAGCCTGACGAATTAACTGCAGTTCTTCCTCAGAACAAAGGGAGAAAATTGGCCACTTTCCCACATCTAACATCTTCAAAGATGACACAGTAGCCTGTATTGGCTAAAAAGGAAAAAATACACATTGAGACAATAAATTTAAAGATTATATTTTCTTTGCCTCTTTCACTTCTGTAGAATTAGCACTGATTTTATGAGAAACAAGCTCATTCTATTTTTGAAAGGCCTCTCACAGCTATGAAAATTGCCTTTACAAGCTCAACTGCTTCAGTACTGCTCTCACTGCAACCACGAGCCTGAGACCCTGGACAAAATCAGATCTCACCTATCAATATTCCTCAAGGACGCAGGAATCGTCCAAAGCTGAGCTTTGGAGGGCTGGATATCCAGCAATCACTTGAAGTGTTGGCTCTGTCTAAAATGTAGCTCTGGAAACTAGGCTGGTATAAAAGCAGGAAAACATGAGAGACAGGAAGGATTGCTTTTTAATCTGCTCAGTCTCAACAAAACAAGTCCTTGGAAAAGAACAATGCTAAAGGTGCCAACAAGGTGCCACCAATCCAGAAATTTCAGGTGATGTGTCAGTTCTGACTTTAATTTTGAACAGTTGGTGGTTTCCCCCATCCTCCACTCAGTTTGGGGATTGGTAGGAAGAAACATCTAGAAAGTATGTGTATTAGTTTGCTAGGGCTACTGTAATAAAGTATCATAAACTGGGTGGCTTAACAGTAGAAATTTGTTTTTTCACAGTTCTAAAAGTCAAGGTATCAGCTAGTTTGGCTCCTTCTGAGGGCTGTGGAGTAAGGTGCTATCTCAGGCCTCTCTCCTTGCCTTTTAGACAACCGTCTTCTCCCATTGTCTCACATCAGCTTCCCCTCTATGTGTATCTGTTTCTGTGTCCAAATTTCCTTTTTGAAAGGACACCACTCATCCTAGATTAGGGCCCATCTTAACTAATTATGTGTGCATTCACTTCATTTCCAAATACGGCGACCTTCCAAAGTAGTGGGGCACCTCGTCTGTTCAGGCTGTAACAAAATACCACAGACTGGGTGGCTTATAAACAACAGAAATTTATTTCTCACAGTTCTGGAAGCTGAGAATTCCAAGATCAAGGCACAGCATAGTCACGTTCCTGGTCCATTGCTGGCAACTTCTCACTGTGTCCTCACATGGTGGAAGGGACAAGGGGACTCTCTGGCCCCCCTTTTACAAAGACACTAATCCCATTCACGAGGGTTCACCCTCATGATTTAAGCACCTCCCACTTCTTAATCCATCACCTTTCAAGGGGTAGGATTTCAACATATGAATTGGGGGAGGGGGACACAGTTGTGCTGCTCAGTGACAGAGATATAGTCTGAGAAATGGGCAATTCTGTCATCATGCAAACACTGTAGAGTACACTTACACAAACGTAGGTGATACAGCCTACAACACCCCTAGGATATACGGTACCGGCTATTGTTCCCAGGCTAAAAGCCTGTACAGAATGTTATGTACTGAATACTGTAGGCAACTGTAATGTGTTGCGCTACAACATTATAGTGTCACTAGGTAATAGGAATGTTTAAGCTCCATTATAATCTTACAGGACCACCATCACATATGTGGGCCGTCGTTGACCGAGACATTATACAATGCCTGACTGTAAATTCGTAACAGGACACATTTAGATCATAAGCATCTGCACTTCCATAAAAGCATTCAATGTGGACATTATACAAGCTATTTTAAAGAGAGCTTGTATTGATTTGCTATACTAGAAACATTTTTACTTACGTACTTTTCAACTTTCAATAATTTTGAAGATTACAATAAGACATATAAACAGCCAATATGCCTATCAGATGGCACGTTTGGCAGTTACCCTCAATAATCACCATACTCTTGCTGGATTTAAAGGAGCAAGGGATTTTCTAAGGCCTGTCTTTCCCAAAAGCTATTAAGTCAACCTTCCCAGGAATGAGTTCTGGTAGAGAGCTGATTTTATTAGCTACTTATTTTCTACAGAAAGTATATTTGTCCCTTTTGCCTTAGGTGTCAGGTGAAGATATATATGTTTATTGTGAGAAACTGGCTTACGTGACTATGGAGGCTGAGAAGTCCCACGATCTTACAGATCCAAGCTGGGGAGAGCTGGTGGTGTAGTTCAGAGCCCAAAGGCCTGAGACCCAGGGAAGCAATGATGTCTCAGAACAATCAATGAAGCAGGAAAAAAGGGATGAATTTCTCTTTCTTCCAGCTTTTATTCTATTCAGGCCCTCAACAGATTGGACAATGACCAACCACATTTGGGAGGGCAAACCATTTTCTATTTCCACCAATTCAAATGCTTTTCTCAACTGAAGACACCTTCACAGACAGAAACAATGTTCAGTCTGCGCACCAGTGGCCTATTCAAGTTGACAAAATTAACTATCACACCATGTGAAGACGCACACTGAAAAAGGCCATGATGATGGAGGCAGACAGTGGAGTGATGCAGCAGCTACAAGTCCAGGAACACCAAGGACACTGCCAGAGCCACCGGAAGCTGGGAGGAGGCAAGAAAGGATTCTTCCCTAGAGCCTTCAGAGAGCATGGCCCTGTTGACACTTTGGTTTCAGACTTCTACCCTCTGATAGAATTAACTAACTAGTAGAGAATTAATTTCTGTTATTTTAAGCCCCCCAGTTTGTGGTATTTCATTAGGGCAGCCCTAGGAAACTAATACAGAGGTAAAGCAGCGTGTCACTGCTAACAGCATCACACCGAGTCAGCGGCAGAGCCAGAACCAGGGTGAGCTCCCCTGATGCCAAATCCAGCCACCAGATTATAAGACCCTGTCCCAAGAATGTCTTCTATTACATTTTGGGCAGCACCCAAAGCACTCAGAGCTAAGGACAGAATTTTATTATGTTAGTCTAAGCTCCTACTTTAAACTACCTACCTCCTTATATTATCAAGGGGCCTTATTTTCTATAAGGTCTTCATTTTAATTTTTTCCTATATAAGTCCAGAAATTGCAAAAAGAACAATGTTTGGGATGTAGCTCAAATATTTAATGTAGACGTGCTAATGTGCTAGATAAAAGAGTTCTTATATGTTATTTCTAATCTCAATTGTAGAACACAGATGTAGCTATCTTCGTTTTATATATTAGAAAATGAGGCACAGAGAGACTAAGTTATCCTCCAAGATAGCTTCTAAGTGAGTAAGCCCAGATTTTTTTCCATACATCATCTGTTGCTGGGTAAAAAGTTCACAGAAGAAGTCACACTGCTAATAGACCTAGCGTTTGCTTGTATTTGCGGGACTTAGCTGTAGTTTGCCTAGAGTCATTGATGAACAGGGCAGTAATGTCTACTGTGGGTTGTCTTGCATGAATACAGCAGAAGGTGATATACAACGAGAAGATAAGCAGCAATACAATTATTGATTGCTATCTCATTTTTTCCTTTCAAGCAGACTTTTGGATTTCAATCTGCCCTGCTACAAAATCAAATGGTTTCTTAGATGCTTAGAATCAGGTTGTAAATTCGAATAGCTCCTCAACACCTGTCTACAAATCACTAGTTCTGAACTTTCTTCCTGGCCAACCTGTACAAAACCTGTAGGAGCACCCAGCTCGTAACTCTGCTGACCACTGGGATTCATGTGTGTGTTTGTAATGTCACCCGCAATCACACATTTTTTAAAGGATGCTACTGGCTGAGAGAACATTAGGTCTGACAGTATAATTGAACATTTATTGAGTGTCAGATATTAAAGATATAAAAATGGGACATAATTGCTCCCTTCAAGAAGCTCACAATTTAATAGAAAATCATCACAATAAAACCTAAGCACAACAGAGGTTTTTTGTATGCAGTAATTTCATTGCTAATTCCATGAGTCCATTCTTTTATTTTATAAAACCCATCCCCCCCCAAAAAAATTATAAATTCTTCTATGAACATTTTCTAAGACTCTTGAGTTCTATATATTACTTTTGTAAGCTATTTTTGGACTTTCCTACAAGGGCTTCAAGTCAGCACATGGTAACACTATGGTTCGGTTTCAGAAACTTCTGAAACTATGCTGGCTTTGTATGATTATTTACATTGTTCACTGTATTTTGACAATATTTTATTTAAAAAGAATAGAAAACAAAAATTAAATAGTGGCAATTCACATTAAGCTATTAATAACAAAGAGCAGATATTTTCTAAATTTAATAAAATTAACACAAGATGGAAACCAATGTGCATGCTGAAAGATGTGACACTTTTATCATCAGTTGAACACTGATTGGACTTAAGCAGATTGCTTGTAATGTTCAAATGTAATGGAAAAAATAAAGAATATCTATGAATTAAGAACATGTCATCTAAGATAGGTATTTTATAATTTTTTTAAAATCCCTGGGAATGGGGTAAACACTGTCCGGCTCAGACCCATCTGCAGGACAGCATTGTCTGCGAGAGCAGGGTACGGTTTGCACTCCTCATCCAGCTTAAACATCACCGTATCTGGGAATCTTCCTCTACCCCTCAGACAATATGCATAGTTCCCGGCTGGCCCTTCTGCCCTTTACATTCTACATACCCACAATAGTTATCTGTTAGCATCTTAGTTACTGTACTGTGAACCTCACAAAGATAAATACTAATTCACTGATCTTCCTCTCAGATGACCAATAAATATTTGATGAAGTGTTTCATGCGACAGAAAATATGTGCCCCAAGGGCATGATTTTTTCTAACCTTGCCACTTTCTCCATAGAAAAGGGAAAGTTCCTCTTCCATATGGACTCAGTCCTGCACAGTCCCTGAGGAAAAAAGTATTTGGTAAAATCAGCATCCCATATGTCAAATGAAACCAGGCAGGTTAAAATTACTTCTAATTAATAGAGAAAATAAGCTAAGCTCAAATATGGTTAAAAGAAGATAAAGGAATTAAGTTTCAGGCATGGTAATTAACAACTATAAAACCCAAAAGGTGTTTGAACTGCTCTGGAATTACCATAAGGCCTTTTATGGGAATCCTCCTGCTCAGGTTTGGAAAGGTAATCCCAGGATAAATGTAAATTCTTAAATCTATAAAGAAATAAGTAGAAATTTTTCATTTCAGATTTGACTTTCTATAGATAAGGAAAAATAAATTTTAGACCTTGGTCTAATTTTCCTTGGGATCGGAAAATTCCAAATCACTGTGAAGAGCAGACTGATCAATTCTCAGCTCCACTGAAGAATATATGATTTAGTAAGCTGAAAAAAGAAAAAGGAGTAATGAATGAAAAGGATGAAAGGATGAATGAATTAACATAACTTTGTTAACTCAGACTTTAACAAAAAATCTGAAACAACAGCCATCAAGAATGTAGCAACAGCAATGAATGTTCTTGCCTTTATTAACCATCTCCACTATAACCACTTCCTAACACATAGAATAGCAGAAGCAGCCCTATCAGAAGATATGCAATATGTCTGAACTGAGATTCAATAATTACAGTCACCTATCTCATCACTAAAAATAAACATAAATAAGTATTCTTTCTCCTCCAAAGCAATTTAATAAAATCATATTTAATAATGTTGAATTTCTGATTTGTTAGGCGGGTTCTATTTACTCAAAAACAATCCATATTTCAAGTGCTAACATCAGAACTTTTTATATGATATTATTTACAAGTAGTTAGAGCCTAATAATAGATAAAAACAAATAAGGTCAAGTCTTAATAGTGTTCCTTATCAATGTTTTATGTGCCCTGAGGATACCGTTAAAATTTTTTCTTCAGCTGTAAAAAGGTCTCTCAGAATATAGGAATAATAATATATTCAGAATAATTATAACTCAAAAACTATGGCAATTAATACAAATCATTATTTCTAATGTTTGGAAAAGATATGCTTGTTTTTAAACGGATCAACTGGACTTTTCTCACTTATAAATTTATAAAACTAGACTGGTTGCCAATGTGGAAAGATAATGTCATGTGACACTTATTCCTATATGATCTGTCTCCTCTATTAATTACAAGCACTTTAAGGGAAGAGACCATGACTTTCATTGCTATAACCAACACAGCACATGGCCCAGAGTGGAACAATATATATTAGTTGAAAGCATCCTTTGAATATAGCTTTTTTTTATACTGGATACTGACTACATGGGGAATTCTTCTATTTTTGCCTCATCCTAACTGAAAATACCTTTTTCATATCTGCCCCAAGTTTATTGGAATAATAATAAATAGAGGAGAGGGATGAGAATAACGAGGAAGAGAAGAGAAAGGAGTAGAGGAAGAGAATTTGAAGGCAAAAAAAAAAAAAAGGGAACTAAACAAGAGAAGAAAAGGTGACCAAAGTAGAGATGTGACTGCCCTCATTGTACTTTAGGCCACCTTTGTTCCTGGTAAAAGAGAAATCTTGCTAATATGCTAAGATCACTGAACAGTATCCTGTGTTTTTATTTTTTTCCACCCCATCCCTCTACCATTGTAGGTAACCAATTTCATCGGTTTCTGATTTATTCTTCCTCTGTTTCTTTTTTGCAAAACTAAGCAGATACATGTATGTGTTTTTCTCAATTCCTTCTTACACACAAAAAAAAGCCTACTTTATATACTCTTTTACAATTTGTCTTTTTATTTACTTAACAATATATCCTGGAAATCACTCCATATCAGTTAATAGAGATTTTTTTTTTAACAGCTGCATATCATGTTTTAAAGAAGGAAAATGAATAGTTTTTTTCATTGTCTTTATCAATTTCAAGTATAGTAACTCTTTAAAAATTAGAATGGTTAAAAATGAGCCTTTCTGTTTATTTTGCTAATCAGGTTAAGATATAACTGCATGTATGGCATATGAAAATTACCATATTCAAAAAAATAACGTTCAGGAGGATTCAACATAATTTCATTTTTGTTGGTCAGAATGTTCTTAAAGATTTAAAAATGATTTGAGATTAATTACAATTGTACACTACTATGAAAAAAATGCTGAATTCTCTAGCATTGTGGATTGGCTTTTTTAAACATTATTTAAGTGTGATATTAACATAATAGAGAAAACAGAAGGAAAAGACATATCATCTTGCAACTTTAGTAATTATTTATCTGCAAAAAAAATACAGTTTAAAAATTCTATCAGCTCTATTATAAAAAGTAAGCAGCAAAGGTGCTCAATTATAAAAAAAATTAAAATTGTAAAATATAACTTTTAGATATTATACTTTATAAGTTTTGGGAGCAGGCTTCAACAATCTGGACAATGTAACATATGAAAGAACATATATTTTAAAAAGTTTAATCTATGTCAACATAGAAAATGTAAGGGAAACCATCCAGAATATGAAAAAAGCAAAACTTTCAAACTTTTGGAAGAAAGAAGAGAAAACATCTTTATGATCTCAAAGCAGGGAAAGACTTTTTTAATAAGGCACAACACAAAAGCATAAACCACAAAGAAAAGACTGGTAAATTATACTACATTAAAGCTTAAAATTTTGGCATAATAAAAGACAAAATGAGCAAAGGGAAAAACATGCCATGAACAGAATGGGAGAAGATATTTTCAACATATATAACAGATAGCTGGCAAAAGATTAGCATCCAGAACATATAAAGTATACCTAAAAATCAGAAGAAAAAGACAATCCAGTTTAGAAGTAGGCAAAAAATACAGACAATTCACAGAGGAAATTAATAAACATATTAAAAGATGCTCAAATTCACCATGGAATTTACCATGGAATGCAGTCACAGTGAGAGAGCTCAGCCATCAGGGATGATAACTAGGGTTGTTGAGGATACAGACCAAAAGACACTAGAATTGCTAGAAGGCACATAAACTGATACGATAACTTTAGAAAGCAACTCAACAGTAATGTCTTTTAATCTTTTTTGATACACATATGTAGTTGAAAAAAAAGTTCCACAAAATAATTCTTACCCTTATTACAAAATAATTCTTTACTACATAAGATGTTCAGTGATATCTTTTCTGTTTTTCTATTTTATTATATTCTATTCTAACCTTCTTTATTTTATCTTTTTCTATTTCATTTTAAAAAGAAAATGCTAGTCTCAGCAGACTAAAATAATGTCAAGATCACTAATGAGTCATATCTTGTAGTTTGGAAAACACCAATCTAGATGAATTTTAGAACATATACATGATTATTTTCAAAATCAAAACAGAAAACGTAGAAATAGCAAGCTATAAACAGTGACATGTGCATACCACACAGCAATTAAATAATTTATCTAGAATCAACACAGATAAATCTGCAAAACAATTTTGACCAAAATCACTAAGTTACAGAATGATGCATATTGTACACTATTTGATAAAGTTTAAAAATATAGAGAAAATGATAGCATTTCAATATGTTATCTATACTGACATATATATGGCAGGACTTTGATGGGTATTTTTTTCATACGGAACTTCTGATGGGGGTAACTACAAAGATAATATTTGCCATGTAATTCTATCAATGAATTGGTATGATGTGGCTTTTCCATCTCACAAGAGTTTTCAAGATGTTAAGCTTAAATTAATCATCTGAATATGGGAGGATAATCCACTGTTAAAGAAAACATCTTAGAATCAGAATACCACCATTTTAATATTGCCTTTACCATGGACACAGAAATTGAATAAATGTTTGATAATGACAACTCATAACCACAATTTCTTTCACCATCTATAAAATAAAATTTTATCAATACCATAGGAAGAAAATAACTAAATAATATAGACAAAGTATAGTATCTTAAATGCCATAGAAGAAAAATCCAAAATAGAAAAAAGTTTACTATTAGTATATTAGAATGGCAAAAATGTGGTTTTTTGCTTCTAGCCTAAATCTACTTACAAATTTCCCATCCCTTTTCTGCACACGAGCGCAAATTTCCTTACAGACCTTGAGCAGAGGCTAGCATTTGTATGGGAAATATATTCTTCATAGTGAGAAAGTCATGGCCTAAGATCATCCTACATGATATATACTACATGTTACTTTATTGTCTTTTTTCCTTACATGAGTTTTGAAATATGTGACTTGGTTTGTGGATATAGCTAATTACTCATATTAAAAAGTGCCTTGTGCTTTGCAAAATAGTTTCTTATACATTTCCTCATTTTGTTTAAATATAATTTAAAAACTACATTATTATAGAATCTTACCATACAGATATTTGCGTTGCAATATTAAAAAATAAAAAATGGGAGAATACGTATCTTTTCTAAGCAGAAGCTCCTGCCACTGATCTCTGCCTTTAGAGTTTCAAAATTAGACTCTCAAGGGTCAGTGTTTCAAGTTTTGTCAAGAGTAATTTTCTAAACCAAATATACACCAAAACTAAGGTAATCTTTTTCATGACATTTCTTATTTTCGCTGTTTTCCTAAACGTGTATAGTTCAACAATTTATTTCCAAATTATCTCTGTTTAGGACAGATAACTCTTTATTCTCACATACTGTATTTCGAGT